TTTTAAGTCTAGATCGGTCGCTGCACGATTCTTCAGATGTTGCGCTGGGTGCGGAAGAGTTTTCATGAACCAGAAGTAAGCTTGTGCACCTGTGCTTGTTGAAAGATGCTGGCAGCCGTTGTCAATTAGCCTTCCACTGTAAATTGGATGGACTTGGTAGCACACGTCCTCATTCCCCGTCCCTTGTAGCATCTCGCATCCACTTGCCACCCCGTCTCCTCCTTGGGAGTGGGGAGCCAATTGCTTTGCTCTCGTAGCAGCGTAGAAATTTGCTACTGTAATCTAATCACCGCGTCATAAGCCGGTAAATTATGGTAAATTGGATCTAGCACTGCAGCATGTTGCTTTTCTACGATGAGCATGGTGTTCACGCTTGCTCAACAGCGAGGTTAATTCGATCAGTATGTATTTGTCCAAAAATCTTTAAATGTCCAATCTCCGTTTGGAACGTCGGCAATTGTCGACCTGAGTGTTTGAGATTGATGTCCGGAAATGATGACATGTGGCCTGAAAGCCCGGTGTTTTGCCCTCCAAGATTCCACCCCAAAATAGAATTAGACAATAATTAATAGTTAAATACCGTCATGTTTAAACAAGCAGCAAGCCTGGAAGGTCTCATGTCCGGATTTGCCGCCAGAAGGGCCTTTGCCGACGAACAACGAATGTCCTGTGACGGTCCTACACGAGAAGGCCTGAAACAGACGCAGAGCTGGCAGCCAACCATGAGAAAAGACACCAATTACCGCACCGCTGCATTTGCTCCACCGTTGTTCTCTTATGAGAGAGCCACACGGCGGGTAATGGTTTGGCTGCTTGGAAGGCAGCATCCTGCAGGAACTTCAGCGACATGCATCAGTGAGGGGTTGTCATTTTTAGGCCAAGTCAAGTGAGCGCTTAAGTCATCAGGGACCGTGCGTGACTGTCGTTCTAAGTCAACTGTTGTGTTGTTTCCCTGGTGAGGTTTGGAGAAGGAGTTGGAGCTGGAGGTCCAGTGAGCAGTTGACCGAGTGGGTGGCACTCATTCAAAGACAGTACTTTGGGCATTTGATTCGTTGGTCACAGACACGACTGCTTCGACAAACGTCAGAATCTTTGCTACTGAACTGTTCTCCCACCTCCAAGTCATGTCAAGAGTCAAGCTACTCCAAGCACACTGACCATGAATGTTCAACCTTGTCCTGTCACCACGGGCAGACACCGGACCGTCATGGCTCTTCAGCGCCTTCGACACAATGGCGCCAAGATGGTCAGCTTGAAGAGCCATCACAAGCGTCGTCCACCAAGAGAAACCATGTCGTGCGTCGCCCGCCGTTGGCGCAGGCCGCTGGCAGCTCTGAGGAGTCGATGTTGGCATTGCAGGAAATTTCCTTTGCAGCCATCCAGGTTTCTGAGGCCCTGCAAGGCTGTGTGACATTTCTTGGTTCAACCAAATATTGGCCCTATCAATGGTATAGATTGGCCTGGCATTGTGAAACGACCATATCAATCTGCGTTTGCTGTGTCCTATAGCGGTTACTCATGCACTTCCCGCACCAAAAGCAATTTATACTATATATTATCGTGGCTGTAATCACTGAACCTAGATTAGATGTGTGGAGACAACTGAAGTTACAGCGCTGTCATGCTGAAAAGTGAGGCATCATTGCATCATGACGTGCCAGGTGATGAGTGATCTTTTGAGCACAGCCGACAACATGTGCCAGCAGCGGCCTAGCTCAGCTCAATGATTTGTCAGGTCCTCTAGGACTCTAGGACAAGATCTTTTGAGACTCAGAGTTGACACAGGATCTTGCAGGAAGTACGCTGCAGAGCTCATCAAGAATAGGCGGATTAACTGCAAGCACTTGCTTCAGCAAGGTTGCCAGATTATATTTCTGACGTGGTCTTTCTGCGAGAAATCGGTGCCTCAGCCACGCAGCGTCTCGGCTAGGTTCAAAAAGGGAGAGGGCCTGGGTGTTGACACGCGGGTGCACCGACCGTCTCTGTCTAAGGATCACAGAAAGCTTGGATGCGCCCATGGAGAAGCCCACAGAGGCAGCCGAGATTGAGAGCTGAATCGACGTGACGGTTGGGTGAAGAAGATTTTTGGGGTGACGCTGACAGGCCAGGTACGACAGGCACCTTGCACCCTGCGCAACCTTGTTCTTGAAGGGGCGCGCTTCGGTCCACAAACCTGGTCATGAAAGTAATGGAAGGATTAGCAGACGATATAATCCGATATAAGTGGCCTGAGCACCATCCTGCGATGAATTATCCGTGTGAGTCTCTCTCAGGAGCCCTATAGCGATGCTACACTAGCGGCGGTCCAAGATCCAGTGAACATGCACACACACACATTGAGTTGATACTTGAGATGTTTATCCTTGATGCTAACTTGAGTGAAGTGACATATCTGCGCCTCGCAGGTTCTATTTCAGATTCGCGCTAAATTGTTTGTATGAGTCATTTGTACAGTCGATGCATGACTTGGCTGCGCGGGCATGAGGTTGCCAAGGTGAGGATGAACAAACTCGGCACCCCTACCCTATGGACCTTGCACGCCACACACGCCTTCTCTTTTTGCAAGGAAAGGGCAAAAAGATTGGCTGCCTTGAGCTATGAATTGGTTGAGGACAGTGACAGCCTTTGAAGGTAATTATGGAGGACATTGATAGACTGATATACTACGTAATTTATCGTATATATTATATAAAATATATATATATATATAATGTAATATGTTTCTCACAAATTGAGATTGCTACTCAATGACCATGAGTTGACAATATGGCGAGTTGACATTGGAAGCCCCAGCTTGTAGGACATTGAGATGGCCCGAGATGGCTATGAAGAAGCAGCCAACGAAAAAGGCTATGAGGCCCAAGCGCAGATGGGACATTTGGGAGGTGATGGACCTAGATAGTCGGAGGGAAACAGGAAGGGGAGTAAGGGGGCATGATGAATTCTCAATCATTATATGCTCAAGTACACAAGTTTCCCCTGGTGCTTTGAGTTGGGTAGTGCAAGACACTGACACATTTGTTGCCAGACGAGGAAAGAGAGGACAAGAGTTTAAGAACCGAGATAACGATTCTGGACTGTTTACAGTGACCCGTGACGTTGTTGCTGATCACATGGATGCACATGGACCCTCCTAAGCGAAGGTGGAGCATTTAAACAACGTCTCCCAGACAACTGGCCTGGTCATTGAAGAACTGGAAAGGTTCCGAGCTCAGGAAAGACGGCACAGTCACTTCATATGGGTGGGCAGTATACAGATGCAGAGCGTCAAGTTGGGCAAAATTGAATGGTGGAATTTGTGCCAATTGCTTGCTGCTAAGTTCATTGCTGCTTCATGCACATGTTGCTTGCAGCTAGTTGCAACTGTATTTGTCAGAACTCTTGCGCCCTTGCCATGCTGTTTGTTTGGATCCTTGGACCTTGGGACTTGCAGTTTTGTCTTGCACTTTTGGCACCAACACCTTCAACAAGTTTGGCTATAAATTTGCAAGGCTTCAGGGTGAGAGCTGGGCGGTGCGAAACCTAGCTGAGATGGTTTGTTGGGGCGAGAATGTGCAAATCAGGTACTTGCTTGAGCATAGGCCTACTGTACGTACGCCGAAGATGTATTGCTATATATATATAAATATATTTATATATCGGTTTAATGATCACCTGCTCAAATAGATTATATAGATATCCAGGATGTTCCAGACCGGTTGTCAATGGCAGAACTTGCCTATAGCGTATAGCCTATTGCTCACCAAATAGTCCGCCAAACGAAATCCGTTGGTTGAGAGCGAGTGCATTGATCAGTCAGTGTTTTGCCAAGGCGGGGGTGCTAGCTGAGATCCTGGAGGAAGAAAAAAGAGGTGAGGGAGTGAGGGGCTCTTAGCTCCAGAGGGATGAAGCCACAGAGATACTGCCAAGTTTTTGTTGGCTCACACCAAGGTTTGTAGCGGTTGAATGTAAAGAAACAGCTCAGTTAGATAAGCAAATTTCAAACATGGCCGAAAGGTCGTAGGCTTAAGCCTGCCACATGGTTGAGGAGTTCTTGCTGGAATGCAAACGAATCCAAAAATGCCTAATGTATCAAGAAGAGGCGCCACTGATAATGCACCAGAGGGTGGCACAAAGGTCACAGAATCTATAGAACTGTGCAGATAAGACATGGGCTCCGGTTTGGTTTCAACTTCTTAGTTCTCAGTCTGGGCAAATTCCCAGCACACCCCGGCAATCCTTTAAGATGGAACTTGGTTTTTGGTTAACTCTATTTTCATCCTGACTTCCTGGGATTTGCTGATTGAAGTCAAGAAGTCCTGACTTGGATGTTTGTCTCTTCAAAAACAGCCCACCCACAACATCGCCGCAGCTTCCATGGCCGAAGGTGCGGAGCCCCGAATCGGTGCGAGAACAAACCCCGAAGAACTCGACACGATGAGACCCCCTCGACATTACATGATTTCATTCACCATAGACTGTATATATACACTTGTATACTATTATACTATATGCATCTATAGATCATCTATACATTAAAAATACTGTGTAACATATTGATATAATGTAAAGAAACTGTATACGTACACACCGCAGACACCCCGTGGAAAGAAGCACTGACTCCTGGTGCCTTTCTCCACACCACCACTGATTCGAGCTCCTCAGCTTGTTTCGTTGTTTGACCTTCTCCCAGCGTTGCTGCTTGATTGTTGCTTCCCCACAGCTTGCGTAAGCTGTGAGCCTGCTTGTTTCCGGGACCTTTCGGCTTAGAATTTGTAGATGCGAAAGGACAACCATCGCCATTCCAAAAGAAACTGGATACCACTCCAAATCAATTGGGACTTGGACCATGAAACATGGTGGGGGTCAGCAAGCTTTGCCGTGAGAAGGCTTGTAGTTTGTCCAGTCCTTCGCAGCAAAGACAGCTGAGACATGCTGAGACCAACCAGAATTAGTACCTTATGATTCTGCACTCCTTTCAAACTTTGTCTCTAGGTTCTAAATGTGTATAATAGCGATGACATTCCTTTGTGACTCATTGCAGAAGGGGAACAGCCTTCTCAAGCAGCCTAGATGTGCCTCCGATGGCTCCGAAGGGGCGCCGAGGAGTGCTAGTGACCACCTCCAAAGCGAAGAGAGCGAAAACTGAAGAAGAGAATGAACGACTCCAATCTCAGAAAGAGTGGGATGCTCGGGCATGTTATAAAAGAAAACACCAATTTTTTGCAATATTTATAGGGATGTTCTGCATGATCCCACAATCATTCGATAGGTCCGCTCGGGGAAACCAACTCGTTGGAACTTCGGCTGAATTTTGAGCTGGATCCTTTTGGCTGAGTGCCCTTCTCGAACACTCACTGAGGAAGACTTGGAGCAAGAAGCCAAGCAGATTGTTCGCCTGCGGGTGGCTGCTGAAAATGGAAGACAGTCGGCGGCTTCTTGCTGAGTTCAGAATTACCTCGCTAAACCTAATGTTTTCATTTTATGTTTTCACTACTTCACTGGCTTTGTTTGAAGATTATTTCAATACCTGGGCGTTAGTATGGCGGTGGCCGCAGGGCTTGGCTCTGCGGACAGGATGTTGGTTAGCCACAGCCATGTCTTGGCAAAAAGCTTTGCAAGTCAAGTCTTGACGAGGGAGGCAAAGGAGGTTAATAACGTTCTCGAGTTCAATGTGTTTAGAAGTTGTCCTTTGTGGGGCTGTTCTGATTAGGCAATATTTATGAACCTGCTCACCCTCCGTGTTCTTAGCACAACTGGAAACATTTCAAGGCCGTAAAGTGAAAGAGTTGCAAAACACATCAAAACACTCAGATTCGTTTTCCCGAGCCTGGTGGGATTGCAGAAGAAATAAGCTGTATGATTTTATGGTGACCGGGAGCAGCAGCGGCTTAGCAATCTAAGGCTTACGACGATGTGGCCGTGGCAGATGCGGAGGTCATTGACAAGGCACCCACAGGACCCACAGACTCTAGCCGCATCACTGGTCCGGAGAAGAAGGATGACATAGACAAGTCAGACAGCGACAATGAGAAGGAGGCCCAATGGGAACTTGGAAGCTGACCGACATGTTCAGGAAGACCCTGCTTGGGCACGGGAAGACTAGACTAGAGCTATAAGGTCGAAGAAACCAAAAGCCTTTGGGGTAGAGCGGAGGAATGTGACCAAACGACTGTTGTGAATTCAGTGAACTCCGGTTTCCTTGCTACCTGGAAGCAACTTCTGCTGTCAGGTCAGGTCTCCTGCATGAAAGCTGAATGTTATGCCCTAGCAGGGGAAACACAGGCTGCCAGCCGCCCCTTCCTCGCAAGAAGCAATGTGCCACACCCTTTGCTGGTTGGGGATGCCCAGCAATATAGAACTATGAGGGTTTGAGGGTCGGAGGGCGAGGCTCTCTAATCTTAAAGACCGTGGGGCCTAAAGACTGAGCGCAGTGTCCACCGACGTGATCTCTCCTTTCTTCAATTGTAGCACATTGGCTACGCGTCTATACTCTCTTTATGCCAATGCTTCGCTTGCCAGGAACCGACAAGTCCTCATGAGGAAGAGGGAACCACTGGCCAGCCTAAAGCCCGTGCTCGGAAGCGTGCTGGAAAGAAGAAGTCTGGAGCACAGAAAAAGCGCGAGAAGGTGGCGAGAGAAGAAGGTGACTTGGATGTTTGTGCTGAATAAGGTCACCCTTTCTATAGATTAATATAATCCCGTTCATTTCACTTGTCTATGTTTTTCAACGCTTTGCAGCAAGCTGTGCTTTGGGTGCGAGCCTTGTGAGGATTGGATCCAAAGCGACAGAAGGAGGACACGTATCCTTCTCAAAAAATTGCTATGAAAGTGACATAACTCCGTGCCTATGACAGTTATAGCTGTAGCATTCTAATCTGAGTGAGGGTGAAGAAGGCACAGATACCGAAATAGACTCAATGCTGCGTGTTAGTGTTGCAGTTTCGAAAGCGTTCCGGAGGGTATTCTGACAGCCCTCCAGCTCACCTACAGCCCCTTCCACGGGGAAGACAGCAAACAGCACAAACCCTTTCTGTTTTGTTGACGCTTGCTGGTGATCAATTCTATTTGTTGGAAGCTCATAGGTTTCCCTTGCTAGGGGGGCACTGAGACATTCGAACTGCTCAAGGCCGCTGCGTTTAGATTAGTTTCGATTGTATTTTTTGAATTAAACAATCATAAATTAAATGCATGTTAAAAAAATGATGAAAACACTACGAAACACAATATGGCGTTCAAACCGAACATACAAGAAAGCACGGGAAGAAGTGCACGCAAGATCATGCAAGTACATGTTGATACATTGTTTGTGGTTTATAAATTGTGAAACACATGAAAGACATGAAGGAGCGTTCATTAACGACGTATGCAATAGCATATTGCTTTTCATGTTTCATAATTTTCACATCCCCGAAGACTTGTCGTGTTTTGCAATAGTCCCCAAAACTTGTATTCCATCTGCAAGCTTGACCTGATTCTTTCAAGGGTAGCATAGCAGGAGGATGATGATCGATGGTTGAAGCTGCGGCTAGCAGGAGAAGAAAAGCCTCGAAGGCTGGGCTTGCTGGCTCCCTAGGGAGCACATTGACATACACGGTAACAATGACGCTACTAGGATCAAAGGGCATCGCTACTATAGGAGCAAGAACGCTATTGGGGGGCTCCTGGCCTTACTACGAGGAACAAGGACGCTACTAGGAGCAACGGGCATCGCTACTAGGAGCGAGGACGCTGCAGGGAGCTCCTGGCATTACTACAAGGAACAAGAAGCCATATACTAGTAACAACTTGAGTGCAGTTTGCAGTTGCACATGGCTTCCTTTCCAGGATCGATGCCAATCGCATAGTCTCGTACTACGACTTCGATGGTCGTGGAAATCCTATTCGGAAGGTTCCTGGAGTATCATTTGACACGGCCGACGACGAGGACCTCCTGAAGCGCTTTGAGTCTTTTGTTGCCGTTATCCAGATTCATGTACCGTGTATATAAGTAGTATATTTTTGGTACTACTAATGTTCTTCTCACTTCACCCTCTCAACATGCTCAAAATCCTGACTCGCTTCGTCGAACCCAATTAAAGTTCTTACAGCTTTGGCCTTCCTTGGCACTGGGCAAATAAGCCATTGGTTGTCCAGTAGGATCTTTTTGCCTTCAAAATTTAAAATTGCTAATGTGATATATGTCATTACAGACGCTTCAGAAGAACGAGACACGGTTCAAGGATCCAGCTCAGTCTGGGAGAGAGAGAGAGAGAGGGAGATATCCAGTTCGTTCTTTGCTTTCAGGAGGATTTTATCCCTGGAGATCGCCTGGCGACGAACAACTCCGGTAACTTCCGAGCAAGCTTACGAGGGGATCTTTGGGCAGAGGACAGCGATGAGAGCTGATGCGGCTCTAATTCCAGTGGAGCCGAAGCACTGGTGTATATACATCATGTATGTGAACATGTACAGTTGCGCACACGTGTGCACCTCTGTGAAGCACGTCAGGGTTGCAGACAATCTCCATAAGGCACACGAAGAGCTTGCAGTCTGTGAAGACTGGCTGCTTGCTCCTGACCAGCTTTCGCTGTGGCAAAAAGAGTGTGTCGAATTTTATAGAGCTGCAAGACCACAAAAAGACAAGCGGGAGCCCTGGCTGGATTAAGGCGAAGACAAGGAAGACGAGGCTTGGGCGCATACTCCAGCAATCGCCAGAAAAGATTTGGATGCCGCTCCAAAAAACCTAGCTGCCAGAATAGGACACCGATTAACTACAACGCCGCCAATGTGTCAAATGGTTTCAAAACAACCTAGTAGCGTCCTTGCTCCTAGTAGCGATGCCCTTTGTTCCTAGTAGCTTCTTGCTCCTAGTAGTAAGGCCAGGTGTCAAGTAGTAAGGCCAGGCTCCTAGTAGCTTCTTGTTCCTAGTAGCTTCCTTGCTCTTTTCCCTCAGGCGGTGTTGCAAGTGGTGTCAGCAGACGACTGTCAAGTCTTTGACGGGGAGGACTGGGGATGTGTTTTTTTACGTTTTGCTCAACTATGCATCTAGGTGATCGAGTTCGGATGCAACATTTGTGCAGATTCACAACAGATAAAATAGCCTAGCTGTGCTATCCTGTGCTTACAAGAAACCTGAAGCTGAAGCAGTGGTGGGACAGCATTGGAAAAAAGTGAGGTGCATAGCAGCAATGTGTCCACAGTTTTGTGGACAGAACTCTGGGGATGCAATGATTTCCTAATACAAAATGCTTGTAACTTTATTGGTGGTCAATGGCTAGCTACTAGAGCTGGTAAGGTTGATTTGACTGCCCAATTGTGGCATTTGGTGTGACCAAGTGAAGCTGGTTGGAGAGGGAAGCTGATGAATCGTGCATTGACTTTTACTCGTGTCACATAACCGGCCTAGATCTTGCTTTTGCTAGCTGAGCACTGCAGCGAAAAAGTCCTTTGCAAAAATGACAATTCTCCAAGCATGGGGCCATGATCCTGCATCCTATGTTTGGAACCTTGTTGCTAGTATCTTCTTGCTACTAGTAGTAATGCCCTTGTTACTAGTAGCGATGCCCTTGTTACTAGCTTCTTGCGACTAACTTCGCCCAGAACTCGATCAAGGTATTTTGAAGCGCCAGGAATGGAACATAGGCAGTACAGATCGGTACAGTGGCTACATGGCGAAACAAAGCTACGAACTGATCCTTGCATGGAATTCCCGGTTCCGCAGGACCCACGGGTCGCAAAGTTGTTGGCGCCTTGTGTTTTGTATTGAAAACCAGGTTGAAAACCATGGAACGACAGCTGTGTTTGGGATCATGGAAGAATGGTTTGACTATTAGCAACCAATTCTTGTTTTGGACGTTGCTTTGGACAGCTAAAGCGACTATTCTCAGGCTGAAGCGAACACTGGCAAGGGTCCGTGGTGAGTCGACGGGCTTCGATGATGCTGAGGCCGGGGAATCCCCCGGGAACCTGCAAATGCAAAGTTCGAGGTCAACGAATTCAAACAAACGGTTCACGTGAAGAACGACCAAGTAGTCGGCAACTATTCGTCAACAATTCATGTGCCATTGAATCAGGTGCGATAGAAGATCGACACAATCCTTGGTCCATGTACTCAAAAAAGTCACGCCAAAAACATCAAAAAACCGATTCACAAGATTTGGCAAGCTCAATGTTGCCATGATCCCAGTGGTTTGGCACTCATTGCGTTGAGAAGTCCGTCCGTGTCTTGTCGCTTTCCATCCGCCCAGAAAGAAGACTTGCACGCAGCCTTCCTGCGCTTCAAGGCTCGATGCTGTTGAGTGCTTCAGTCTCGGTGGACAGCGTACTTCTTTGGTTCTCGAGAAACCCTCACAGCATGCACATCATTTGCACCAAAATGCCTTTGAAGAGAGAAACATTGAAATCCTGATGCTTGGAAATTGCAATGAATGGTTCTATATAGACCAATCTGAATTTGCAGCACTTCAATGACTCCTTCTGGCAGTGGCCAAGTTTAGTTGACATGCTTCCGTGCATAGTGGCCTGCAGAAACTTACAAGAGAGATGTATCTCGGCTACCCGGTTTATATGATTAATCTACTGACACTCGCAAGCTGCTCCATGCTGATGCAAAATTTGTTGGATGTCCGGTCCAGTATTCCAGCCGCCTAGAAAGTGCCGACGCAGGTTCCAGACTCAGCTGACATCCACAAGGACTGCTGTGAAAACGAACATGCGGGAGTGCCATGAAAGCTGCTCGCATGCAAACGGGGGTTCCTTAGGATCTTAGGTCCTGGTCGGTTGATGCACTTCACATAAACAATTGAACCTCGTTGTTCATGGTCATCCGTCGCCAGTGGAACCTTTGGCTTGTGCAAGCTTTCAGGACGACCTTGACGCGTTGCTCAACTTTGTTGGGCGCTGGGTGCCGCCAGATGTTGCTTGGCTGATTGTACAAAGCGCATATGGTTGAGACACAGGTTGCAAGCATTTTCATAGAAATGAGCTGAAGGAGCCAAAGTCAAACAAAACAGCAATAGCAAAACTGAAAAACAAAGATTTGGTTGCTACCTTCACTACCGTGGCCTTTGACTGCTTTTGCTGATCCTGGATCGCCTTGAAGCCAGGAAGCTATCAGCGAGCTGGCACGCAAGGCCGGCAGGGCATGAATTGTTATATACATACAATCTGTGTGTTTTTTTTAAAGCTGTTTGCATGGTTTTGCGACATTTTGTGATTTATAACTTATAGTTATATCGGTCAGACATAGGTGCCCGCAAAATACTGCGAGCATTGGCGAACACATGCTAGCACCAACAAGGGATCATCACGCCTCAGGCAGATTGCATTTGCAGGGTCAGAGGGGTTACCTACCAAGCACCAAATTATCGCTTGGTGTGTGTCCACAGATCAGCAAAACGCCGGAGTTGTGCTGATTGCTTGAACTTGGATGTCAATCCATTTCACATCAGTCAATTGATTTCAGATCACCATGTACGACTACATGGATTTCGACGAATTCTTGACATTTATGACATACTATGACGCGCGCACCTCAGTTTGTAGGGGCATCATTCCTGTCATTCCCCGATTCAATTCCAACAGTTTGCACCTGGAGTACTTGGAGCCCAACTGTAAAGACAGTTTAGCGAAGATGTTGCTCACCATGTATACATATATATATATATATAAAATTATACAATAATATACATGTATGTAGAGATTAAGTGAGTGACTGATTGAAAGCGTGCAATGTCATTTGGTCAAGCAGTAATACAGTGCCTCAAAATCTTCGAAGAATCAACAGGCTTCAAATCAACACATGCTTGTTTGCGGTCACGCCTTGGAGATGTACAGTGGTTTCAGAGTAGATGGCACAGACCTCAAGATGTTTTTTAGGTTCAAATTCCTATAAACCACCTCTTGGGGTTTGTGCCATCTATATTATACTCTCAATCACTCAATCCACTCTATCACCTTTGCATCACAACTGAGGAGTTCGAGCGTGCTGAGCAGGAGCGAATCTTCAAGCTTTACGACGAGGCCGCTGCCCTGGTCAGTTTGCTGCTGTGCGACAACCCAGTGGTCTTGGCCACCGACTCTCAGGATAGTTCAGGGAACATTTCGGCACGGGGACCCAGTAGATTGGGCAAAACATGTGTAGGATCGCACGAGGTACTGTGGCTGGACCAGAGCATATGTTGAGGTTGCAATGTTCAATGTATATAATTCCAGGATATTGTTGTTTGCAATTGGTTCATGATTCCCGTTTCCTTTGCGTACTGCAGTCACGTTGCCTTGACGTTTGAATTGTGCAAAACTTGGTAGAGTTTGCAGTGCAGCGGCGCCAAGATCCATGAACTTCGATGCCTTTTGTTCGGGCCCCCAAGGGTGACTAGCCACCACCAGGCTTCCTGAATCAGAGTGAGCTTTACTGACTGAAGTTAGTTGCAGCTTTTTGTGCCAAACTGCCAGGCTGCACAAGCGTTGCCAAAACTACGTGGAAGTTGTTATATTGTAGCTATTACTGTATGTTGTTTTCGATAGGTTCTCCGCAAAGTCATCGAAGTCCATGACTGTCAAGTGTTAAACCTAGGAGTCTCACCGCGTAGCCAGGTGCCTGGATGCTGAGCCTCAGCATTTGTGCTCAATTGGAAATAGCACAGCAAACGCGTTGTTTCAAGCGCTGCCGAGGGGCAGGCAGTGTCCCTCAGCTTGGGCAGTGTCCCTTTGTTGACCAAACTCCTGTAAATCAGCCAGCCAAGTATGCAGAGCGTTGCTAACGTCCCAGTTGGCATCAGTTGGGATTGCAACACTCCTGATGACCATATTGCTACGATCCACCCACAAGAGTTTGCTTGCGGCGCATCGCCATGGTGAAAAAGAAAAAACTGAATGGAGGAGAGAACGGGGACGATTACAAGCCCCTTGAAAGCAATAGCCTCAAATTGACACCTGGAGCATCACTTCTATCACTACTGTAGACTGTAGCACTTTAAAGCTTAGATGGTGCGGCTTTGCTTTAAAAGCGTAGGCGTAGGGTTTTTGCCGATAGTGCCCAGCTGGGCCTCAGTGCTGAGGCACGATTTGTTCTGTGATGGATCATGGTTCAATCTGTTTGAGATCATGAAAACTATCGGGCCGCTGGTTGCCAAATGGCCAATGTGATGCAAGTGTTCAAGGTCTTCCCAAGCCGGGCTTTATTCGCTTAAAGTCTTATTTGTTGTTGGTTTCAGCCTTCATTCTTCATCGCCTCGCTTTTGGTCAAAAGAAGCGTTGATACATATGGAGGCGTGTCGACACTACAACATCTCCGGTGAATGCCGACAACTTTGGCCTCGCAACTTTGCTGTCGCCTGTGACCGTGGACAAGTTCCATGAGGGCTTTTTTGAACGGCACGCCTTGCATGTGGCACGGCCCAGGCGTGGCTGCTTGGAACGTTCCGGGTCGCTGGCATGTTCCATTGATGTTTGCGCTTAGTATATTAAATATAGGTGAGTTTCATAAATAGTAGGCAATGCCAGACGTGGATTGCATGATTTCAGGCATGTTGGACTGACATGTTGAGCCGCAGAGGCCACCAAAGTGGGTTGCGTGTTTGAATTCTCTTGTACGGACATTGACTGTTTCTTTTTTGGGGGGGTTAGCCGCTAGGAGGTAGTAGCTAGAGGCAGCTAGTACCTACAAGTAGCTACTACTTAAGACGCAGGATAGCTCACGCACTAATGATGTTGTTTCTATATTTTAGGGAAACTAAACCATGCGCGTCTCAACGCCTGATGTCCTTCAGTTGTCCTGGGTACTATGCGCCACTGGAAGATTTGTCGTCACCACAGAGGCTTCACGGGAAGGGGAGGGCAGGAAGGGTTGATGAGATGGCATGGTGGTGCAAAGAGCCGTAAAGTCATTCACCTTGACTGACATAGATCATAGGTCCGTTTGAAGAAGAGGAGACTCAGAAATTGGTAGGGTGAGAGGCCTCACAAGGGGAGAACGGGTGCACAGTCAATTTGTAAGTCACCCTTGCGAGAAATTGTATTTTTGGATGCGATGCGATGATCCGAATGAGGGCTGTGTCCAAGTCATTTTTGGCGTGCAGGGATTTGCAGAGAATATCCAACAAAGCAAGGGGAATCTGAAATGTTTGTGTATTCAATCTATTTGAACAAGGCTGCTGGAGAGTGTGCCTTGGTGTATGTGAGCATTGGAAGACATTTGCGGAAGACAACTTTGCATTACGGTCGCCACTACTCTCATGTTGGAAGATGTCTTTTCACTAAAGTTCAGCTCAGTTTCTTGGGTGGTGCTGGTCAACCTCCAGAGAAGCTGTACAGTGTACACTACTTATACCTTCGGGACTTCAGCCCTACCCCCATACCCCGCATACCTATACCCTGTTTTTCACTTCCAGGTAGGCCCACCGATAGCCTTTTCGGCATTCATTTGGTAGGTGATAGGAAGTTAGGTGTGGCCACACAAGCTGAATCGGAGATTCAGGCATTCCTCCCTTGAGCCCCAACCATCCTCAACATTTGTGGTGCCAGCCTTTCAGAGTAGCAGCAACGTAGATGCGATTTGGTAAGGTTGTTCAAGCTGATGGAAGATGGCACCGTTCCGCTCTACCGGATCAACATGTTCCGGTGTACAGACGGCAAGACAAAGGATCCGCGTTGAACATTCATCCAGAGGCTTGTTCACCCAAGAGATCTTTCGGTGCGATGTCCTGTGTTCAGGCAATGTCAACGCCTTTCAATCCAAGTAAACAAGGTCACACTACAGTAGATGGACAAACAGCTTTAAACTCATTGTCACGAACCCCTTACCCCAAAGTTCAATGTTGATCGGACTTCTTTCCATTTGTGTTGCCAGGGGTTGAATTATTCGACCAATCGCCCAAGCACATTGGCAGGCTTGCTAACGAGTTTTAGGGTGGAAGGGGTCAAGTTGGCCTTAAGATGCTTTAAGCATTTATATATTGTCCATCTACGGTAGTTACTATGATTACTGGGTGCTAAATGTTGGGATTGCGCTTTCCAGGAAACTCCTCCGACACCAACCAGAGTTGACGAAGTGGTTCGGCTGTTCAATGAAGGTGGGGTCGGGACGGATGCCGCTGCCGGCGACCTCCAATGTGCTGTGAAACTGTGTGGCCGGGGTCGAGTCAAGTGTTTGCATTTTGCGTTGTCGTTGAATGGTTGTTTTGGTTTTCCTCGGTTCTAGGCAAAGAGGATGTGTGCAACTGTTCAATTGCCCGTCAGTTTGACCCATTCAGCGTTCAGGCTTTGTGTGCTCAAATTGACAAAAATCGTACCAATATGTTAAAATTATGTATTTTTCAGATGTGCATAGAATGAGCAAGAGGGTCAACCAGGTTGGAGCATCCAATGGCTGCAGCCGCAGCATGAGTGCCTGAGCATGATCCAGCTGCCTGTTCTGTCATAGTGTTTCTTTAAACTTATATGACATCGTGAATCCTGAGAGTAGGGTGCCCTCAGGCATTTTACATAATCATTATATATAGTCTTAGCAAAATTCTTTTTTTGCCAATCCAGCTCCAGCTGCCACTGTAATCTTACCATTTTTTGTTTAGACCGGGAGTAGATCATGGCATTGCCTTGAGTGCAATGGTAAGGCACGACGCCTTGAGTACATTGGTTGCAACTTTGGAGTCTCAGTTTGGCTGCTTGGTCGGGGTCAATGCTTACTTGACACCTGCAGGTGCACAAGGCGCCGCCAACGGAGTTTGTTTGATCACCACCATGCCAGGGAGCACCAACATTCATGGAACACATGGAACAGGCTGCTGATATCACCGGAGTTGTCCACGATCCATTTTTGGGTTGAACATGACACCAACTCCAATTGAGTAGCAGGTTTGGCACCACATTGGGATGATGTGGATGTGTTTGTGTTGCAGCCGCTTGGCTTTTAGACAACCTCAAGTAGCTTATAGTGTCGCTCCGGGTGTTGCTGTGAACTTGGGGCTCCATGCAATGAGGTTTGCCTTACATATGAATACACATAAATGCATAGTTTGGAGGAGTCTGAAATATATGTAGCATGATGTGCTCATCCCAATCCACTCTGAAATTCCGAATCCTTGGTGCCAAGGCTTGGAGGTTCAAAGGCCTGGTCATTGCATCGCTGCTGCACTGACTCGCCGCTGGAACCGGAGCAGCAGACCTTGCCCCGCTATAGCAGCGGCGATCTTGCTCCGGAGCCCCATGTCGTAAGATGTCGCAAGGAAAGAGAGATTTGGGTGGCCTCCACTTGCGGCCAGGAAGTAATATGATTCCTGCAGTCAATTCGAGATGTCCACCTGGTGGATCGTTGTGTCCAAACACTTCGGGTGGCCTTGACTGGTTGAGGTCTTTGTCCGACGCCTTCATGCGGCCAAAGCTGTTACCTGGAGACCTGTCACTCGAACTGAGTTTGTCACTCTGATGGATGTGCTATTCGATTGGTCACAAAATCATGCATATACATACTGTATATGGTCATATATGTGTAATGCAATGCAATGCAATGTGTACATGTGTTTCTTGTTTTAGTGTGCGTGTCGGCTAAGATGATGTGTATAGTATTATATAATGGCATTTTGCTGTAACGCCTGTGCCCTACGGCAGTCAATGGACACGATTCCGCATCAGCGCATGAAGATGTTTTTTCGTTTCATGTTGAGGCATTGAGCGCCTGAATTCAACAGATCAAGACATAGACAAGGACAAGAAACTGCTTCGGGGAAGAACACTTGAGACAGCAACTGAAATACTTGCCAGGGAGACTTCAATTTTAAAATGCGAGAAACAAAAGCAACACATAACCAGACAGACAGACAGTCACCACTGTAAGAGATGTGCATTTGCGGTACAGCTGAGGCTCTATTTCCCGCGGGGTATCATTCACCACGCTCCCAACAAGGACAGCCGGATGATGCTGGTTGATCGCTAGTAGCCACGAGCATTCATTGAATTATAACCTATGCGAAATCAGCACATCACGAAAGGTAGCCCTTCAGGGGATACCTTGAGTTTGTCTTGCGAAGCAAGTGTGGGCTCCTCCAGATCTAACAATTGATAGTTAAATTCAACCCCCGCCCCCTTGGAATTGATTTTTCAATTCAGACCCCCCTCCCCCCCCTCTGACCGCTTCATCCCGAAGTGGATCACCTCGACACCTCGATGGTTATTTGGTGTTGAGCACTCTAAGCTTGGGGCAGTGTTTGAATCCATGAAGAGACATGACATGCTGTTTTTAGTGCTTCTTGTCGTTGAGGATTATCATATAACTATATATATATAGATGTTATGTATATATCGAACTTTGGTCTTTTCCCCCATTCTCACGTTGACGTTTGATTCGACTCCACCAACAACACACTGCATATTCATGTTTATTTTTGTCCCGCTGTCCAACCTCTCGTGTGTCCCTCTTCTCAAGTGATACACTACAAGTGGCAAGGGTGCAACACTCCTAAATTGAATAGGTAATCTACTGGGCGGAGTGGACGTACATGCAAACTATATATTTGGCATTAAAGGTTTCGATGTTCTGCTGCTGGCAAGTTCCGTTCAGAAGGCAGCAGAACGGAAACGCATGTTGCAAAGAAGCATTAAGAAGTGTTAAGCTACTGTAAGACAGATCAACTGCATGAAGCCTATCAGACAGGCCTTTGAGATCTCTCACCTGAGTCTCACCTGTGCTTAGCAACAAGTTTCAAGGATGTTTCTTCACCATCCGTTCACTTGACTATATCCACCTTTCAGCGGCAAACGGTCTACGATTTGGTGCAGAAGACCTTTGAGGAGGCTGGTGTTGTGTTGTTTGATGGGCAGCAGAAAAAGAAGGACTGAATCGGCTGAGTCGCTGCCGGAAAGCAATTCAGCTCTTGCAGGCCATGTCAGAGTTGTGGGAGGAGGATGAGGAGCTTCGAAAGGCACTACCTTGGAAGGCCCTGACACTGGCACCACCCAACAAGCTGCTCAGGCCGTGTATGAGACTGAAAGTGGCGAACAAGTTAAGCAAATGAACACCAATCAATCAAGGTTGATTTAAATTTTAATACTAACAGGCTGGTGGGCCCATTGGCCATTTCAAAGATTCGACGCTAGACAGCTAGACCGTGCGATCCACTTAGAACTAGCTGAATGAGCCATAATTAGCGTTGAGCGGACCTTGATTGCCAGAAAAGGAAGTTCCATGATGTTAGTGATATGGACCGTTACTTGCTCAGTTAGTGCTTGCTATGCCGCCCCCAAAGTCTGACCCAGAAGTTCGCAGTTCTGCGGTGGCGCAGCAGCTTCGCCGTCTCGCCGATGCAGTTGGGTGGCTCAGGAAAGCATTGATTTACTGGTAACAATGTTCGCTACTAGGGGCTCCTGGCATCGCTACTAGGAGCAAGGACGCTACTAGTAACAAGAAGCTACTAGGAAAGCATTGATTTAGATTCAGAACGCAGCAGCATTCCTCTTCAGCATTCCCGGCTGATAGACTGAGTTCTTCACGATTTGTCACCGGTGACTGCGACGGGTCATGAATGAACTTGTCAGAGCGTGTCGTCAGAGTGTCGTTTGAGGTCGAAGCGGAGTCATCGGAAGATACTCCTGGAGCTGTGGCGGCAGCTCTAGGAGAATTGGGTGCAGAGCTGCTTGGGATCCATAGGAAACGACAAGAAGCATCAGAAAACCCACAAGTGTACCCATTTGCACCAAGTAAGAATTTGATTAGATAGCAGATAGATGCAGATAGCATAAATGGAAGGTGCCATGATCGTGTCGTGATTGCTACCATTCGTTTAGCGGCGTAGCATTGTGTAGCATCGTACTGCAGCCAGCCACCTTGGGATTGAATCAGAGCGGCAATACTCAATTCAGGTTTGTGCGGCATCGCATGCCACCGCGCCAAAAGGAAGAGGTGCAAGCATGCGAGAGAGCCCAAAACCTCAATCCAAACAAATGCCAATTACAGGCAACAAAGCCGAGTCTTTTCAACCTCTTTTGGATGTGATCGATTCACTGAGTTGACCTGCCACAGCCCGAAGCATGGAATGTGCTGCTGCTAGGTCGAGGTTTCCCTCGTTGGCCTGCGAAGCACGGTGCGACTCGACATCTCTGCCATTGCACTTCTGCCAGTGCCGGGCGACATCGACGATGCCGCGGCGAGATTGTGCCTCGCTTGGACAGCAGGGAAAAGCCTACTCAAAGACCAACAATTTCCTTGGTGCTGCCCAAGTCTGCAGCTGATACCTATCAAAAAGAAAATTGATTCCTATAAATTAAAACAAATGTTTCCTATCAAAGCCAAAAAATAATTCGTATCAAAAAGAAAATTCCCCCTACTCCTTTGGTCCTGGTCCTTTGTCCTGCTCCCTTGGTCCTTTGTCCTGCTCCCTTGGTCCTTGGGTCCCTTGGTCCTTTGGTCCTTTGGTCCTTCGTCCTGGTCTTCGGGTCCTTGGGTTTGTACTTTCGAGGCAAGACGCGTTCAAGGTGATTTGGAAATCTGGTCATACATCCTGGGAGCACTGTAGCAGACCTTTTATCACCAGACGTAGCAGACCTTTTTTGTGAGCCACCCTGACGGTAAAATTTAGACGAAGAAGGTGCCATTCCAAGGTAGCAAACCTTTTGTGAGCCACCACCTGAGGGCAAAATTTAGAAGAGGAAGGGGCCACTCCAACGTTGCAGACCTTTTGTGAGCCACCCGGGGATAAACTTTAAGTGCCACGCCAAGGTAGCAGACCTTTTGTGAGCAACATGAAGTTTAGAGGAGCAGTAGGCCTTTTGTGAGCCATGCGAGGACCAAATTTACAGGAGCAGACCTGTTGTCAGCATAAACGTTAGTTGAGGAAGGTGCCATTCCAACATAGCAGACCTTTTGTGAGCTATCCACAGGTCTTGTGGTTTCGAGATTCAGAGATGTCTTGAGATCCATCATCAGAAACCTAGAGGTCTGAAATTCAGAAGATGCAGAGAGGTCTACATCCACAAAGGTCCGAAGGCCTGGAGATCCAGATGGATCTGCAGGCGTAGAGGTCTAGAAGCCCACAGATCAGATCTAAAGATGGAGGTTTAGAGGTCTAGAGTCTTGAGATCCAGGGAGGTCTTGAAATCTTAGGGGTCTAGACTTGCAGAGGGTGTAGAAAGATGTTCAGACCCAGAGATGTCAAGAGCTCTTTTCACCGGTCTTGAGATCCACAGAAAATTTACGCACGCCACGCAATCTGCACTTCGAGGTTTGCAATCGCTGCGCCTGCCACGAAGTCTGCGCTTATAGACAGGTGTTCACCCAGCGCCGCGCCTGCCACGCAATCTGTTCGAGGTTCACGAAGTGCTGCGCCTGCCATGAAATTTGCAGTTTCAGTGCACAAAGTGCTGCGCCTGCCACGAGCCCTGCAACTGAAGGTGCTCAAAGTGCTGCGCCTCACGAATTTTGCACTTCCAGTGCACAAAGTGCCGCTCCTGCCACGAAATCTGCTACTGGAGGTGCTCAACGCGCTGCGCCTGCCACGAAATCTGCACGTCCGGATTCACATCGCGCAGTGCTGCCAAGGCGGTTCGCAGTGGCAGCCGCAGCTCTTTGTGAAAGGATATTTTGTTTTTGATGCCAATTACATTTTTTGGTAGGAGATAGAAATTTTCTTCAGAAGCCATTTTTGATATATATATATATAGATAAATTTACTTATTTTTTGATAGCCCGCCAGTCTGCAGTGGGTTGACCTAGTTTGCAGTGGTTTGCTTTAACAACCGGTTTTCAGGAAGAACTGCTGTCTCTCTCTAACTTTGCTCAGGTTTCAGGCATTGACAGCTGAGCTTCAGATGAGTGGTGGTGAAGGTAAATTAAATGTTCACTCAGGATCCAGAATTGATGACCCTCGCTATTGAGGCAAACTAAGATTTGTTCAATATGGTTTACGTGGCAGTAATTATAGCATGTTATTGCATGTTATTGCTATATTGTGCATCCACGTGGAACACCCACTTTGCAAGGCCCTTTGCCTTCTTTCTCGGTGCCGTTATTTTTCCCAAGGATTCATTGTGCCAGCAACATGCGAAAGAATCACATGATGAACCACCCTGCTGGTGCAGATGCAGGTCATTGCTTCCCAGGCAGCGTCAGCATGTCCTTCTAGGACAACTCCGGCATTGCTGGACATGCCCAGAGGGAAGAGAGAGACTGTGAGAGAGATAAACATAAAGAACGAAAGAGAAAAAACAAATCCTGAGCTGTGCCTGAAGATGTGCAACGCTTGACGCATTCTCGGCAAAATGTGCCAAAAAGTGCCTGTTGGAGCAAAGCTGCCCTGAGGCAATGCTGAAGAGGCAGAGCCGGAGGAAGCGGAGGAAGAGGACTTGGAAGGTGACGAGGCGTCGGAAGTGAAGAGATGGGATGGGAGCCCTGATGAGCCCTGACGAGCGTCAGGAAAGGATATCACTTCAATTACCCACCCAGCATTGCGACTTTGATCGAGGGCATTGGAGCATCAGGAGGTGCCGTAGCCTTCGCTATCAACTGAAAATCCATGAAAGTCCAGGCTTGGACAACTATTTAAAGCTACTGGCATCACTGAATGAAAATTGTTTTTTACGGCCTGAACCTGTCCTTGCATAGGTCCTGGATCCCGCCGATCCGGGTCAAGTTCTTAGTGGCCCTGTGGTAGTGGCGCTGAGGCAACGCTGTGCCGCACTCGTGGGGTTTTGTGGTAGTTGAAACTAAAGGGGCAACCATGCTGAGCTGCACATGCACCAACGAGAGTCCGCAGTGGCTTTAAATGTGTGTGTGCTCGTTTCAGTCCCACGACAGGGATGAGGAAATCACACTTGTGCCCACAAGATGTGACATGCTTGAAGATTCGGATGCTCTAGATTGCAAGAGCCTCCTTGTTTTTGTCGAAAAGGCGCCTCAAACAGTCGTTTACACCTGAGACTGAGACGGCCCAAGCTTGCTAGGCACATTTGCAGCTCCGAGCCAAAGACGTTGCAGGAGTTGCTACAGGAGGCCACTTGGAACATGGTTTTCCTTCTACAATTTGATGAGAATATATATATGTCGAAGACTTTGTAGAAGGCTGGAGCTTGGTAGCAAGGAACAAGAAGCGACTAGGGGATCCTGGCATCGCTACTAGGAGCAAAAAGCTACTAGGGGCGCTCCTGGCCATACTACTAGTATATAACAAGAAGCTACTAGGAGCTTTTTCGCTTCGGGTTCCCACGGCGCTTCAGTGCCTACCTCTCCACGGCCCCCATGGAGCGCTGACCGGAAGGCGAAAGTGCCACCTGAGCGCTGGCAGGAGGTGTGCCAGCTGCTTACACAGCTCACAGCTTTGGGCTTGGCCTCAGTGGAGGACGGGGGTGAATTTGAGGAAGCATTGCTAATGAAGGATGACAAAGGGACGTGTTGACAAGTGAGACGACCTTGCAAACCTGGCCTTGATCGCAACCAGGACCCACCTAGTTTGCCAAAGGCCTCATCAAAACTAGCATCGGCATCGAAGCGTCGCAGGAGCTTATGTGAATCAGTTTTGGTTCATGTTGGCTTTTATCGTTGGAATCTGACAGTGTTCGCATCGAGTGATGATGCACTTCCAAACACCAAGTTAGCGGGCAGCATGAAGTAGCTACGAGGGGAACTTGAATTGCAAAACTGTGCATCGGTTTGCTCTCACGCTGGCCCGGCCAAAGTAGAATGTGATTCAAAGTTTTAACATCTCACTGTTGATTGAGGTAGCAGTTGCACAAGTTTGGATGAGGGAAACAGCTTTGCCAGGATCAAAAAGTGACAAAGAGCCCTGCGAAATGGAAAGCACAAAAAGAGCGCTCAGTCCTGCACGGATGTCAGTCAGGTGCAGTCACTCTGATTGCCGGCCCACATGTGGCAATTAATAGAACATGTTTAAACACATGGAGTACGTTGTGGGTCTATTTCGTTGACCCATAGACGTTGTCAATAGTAAACTACTTGGAGCTGGTAACATTGACTATCACCCTAGAAGTTACTAGTAGCAAGAAGCGTGAACACGGAGAAGCCTCGACTCATCATGCTTTGGATGAAAAGGTCAGGGCTTGGGATGTGCCCCTTGCGGCAGATGATGCACGAGGCAACTTCATGCGACCACATGCGACTTGGGCAAGCTACATTGTTTGGAAGCCAAGGCAGTCAAGTCAAGGGTGCTAAAATGAGATCTACTAGCAATCATACTATTAGTAACAAGAAGCTACTAGGGGCTCCTGGCATCGCTACTAGGAGCAAGGACGCTACTAGGGGCTCCTGCCATACTACTAGTAACAAGAAGTAGGTCTTTGAAGCAACTAGGAGCTATAAGAGGCCTGCCGTATTGATGCAGGCCCTGGGGGTGGTGGACAAGAATTGGGATGGCGAGCTCAACTTCGAAGAGCCATCCCGGCGAGTGCACAGCTGTGCAAAACATGCACAGCTATGAAATGCTCATAGGACGGCAAGTCAATGCAACGTCAATGTGAGTCCATGATGTTTCATATTCAGACACTGTTGCATGATTCAAGGCTGCCATAAGTTTCCAAGGTTTCTAGGCATGGTGAGCCTGCCCACGCTCTGATGCCCACCTCAATGGTCACTTGCTTTTAGCATTTTTTAAAGCGTACCTTAGTTGAATCGATTGGATTCTGGATGCACGAGTCCGGCCAAGAGCTGGAAGATACTGGAACTTCAGCAGTCAAGTGAACTCAGAGAACTGAATGAAAGCATCGCCCTGTGTTCGATAAGAGAAATGCCAGGCTTTGCTGTTTTCTGGCCGTCTATCGAGGCTCCGAAGGATTCACGAAAGAGGAGGCAGATCACTCGCATTAAGGTAGTTGGGAGAATTGAAGTATTAGTTGCTGCAACCACAAACACACATATATATATATGTATATGTGTTTAGTTATACGTATGTATTATATTAGCTAGACAAGAATTGTCATTGACATGAAAGGTGATGATGACCAATTCGCGGACATCAGAGATTTGCACTATGTGTAGCCAGCAACCAGTGAGTCAAGATTTGCGGCCACTGACAAGGTTGCCAGCCTCAAAGAACTCTTTGACGCAGAAGCTGCCAGTGGCCCTGATAACCATTGACCGCAGTAGGCCGTGGAAGGCTCCAGGCCTTAAAGAATTGGGAGGTTTCTCGTGGTGAATTGCACGCAGCCAAATTGAAAGATGTATGCAGCAGACTGAATCTTCCGTTGGGAAGTCAAGGAATGACAGCTACTCACCAAGGTCGAAGTGGACAATGAGAAGCCAGGTGAGCAGAAGGGCAACAGAAGCAGAGCACAAAATGCCTTTTTTAAAGTCTGAGCAAGCATCAGTAGACGCATGGGAGAATCCCACTGGCTGGGGCCTAGCACCAAATGTTTTATTTTTGCAAGGATTCTGGTAGCAGCAGCATGTGAGTCATGTCTGATTTTGAGTCCACAAAACATGTACAAAAAGCTATTAGGAACAAGTGCATCGCTTCTAGTAACAAGTGCCTTACTAGTAGTAGCAAGAAGCTATTAGGAACAAGTGCCACGCTAGTAATACATGATGGACAGCAGGAACTAATACTGTACACTGAGACGGTGAAACACACACCCATCGAGACCGCAGGTCGTCATGAGCTGTGGGAGGCTTAAGATGCTTAAGACCGTGCACATCAGCAAACCATTTTGACATTAGTAACAAGTGCATCGCTACTAGGAACAAGTGCCTTACTAGTAGTAACAAGAAGCAATATATATATATAGATTCTGTATTAATCATATAGGCAGGGCAAAAGCTCATGGAGCGACGCGACCCAAATCCATGCAAGTCCCATGTCCAGCGTCCAAGTGGCCGAAACCGAGGCCTCCGGAACCCAAATTGGCCGGCAAGCACTTGCCGTCCTTGCTGATTCAGGTTCTCAGAGCAGAAAATATGACTGATGTGACTGATGTGTGGTACAACTCAGTCACTCCGTCACTTTCTAGCACTTAGAGAATTGACATGTGGCTTTCTTATTTTGTATGGAGGTCACGGCATTCCAAGCAAGCTGTGGACTATAGTGATTGGTGGACCATGGGTTCCCTGAGTTGTTGCGACATACCACCCCGCGGTCTGGCTACAGACGTAGGCCTTCGGTATGCAAGTGGCCGACAACGTTGAAGAGTATCGTGCTTAGTTCAGCTGTGTTTTCAGCCCGCCAATGCGTTTTGTCGCAGCAGTGGGAGCAGCGAAACTGCACTTTCTGTGTATGTTCCTCCCGCAAGCTAAGCGAGACCAAGGCTTCAGCAGCAACTTGCATCTGGTCACAAGCTTAGCAACGTGATGCAATGTGCAAAGTACAAGCCGTCAGGGCGTCGTTTAGTTGTATTGTACAGTTGTGCAGCTATACTCTCCTTAGCCTTTGTAAGAGCTACAGGTTCTGAATGAATCTGATATTATCGATATTTCTCGATCGTGGCTGCTTTCTTAGCCAGCGCCTGTTGCTTCGCCGTGTCAGCTTTTGGTCGGGCTGTGACTGCAGCGCACGCGCACCGGTGCTGCACCGACCGTCAATGTCTTCTCGGTGCAAGCTGGGAGGCCGACAAGTTCCAGCAACAGGGTCACAATGCATTGACAATGCATCTGTACGGTGTCAATTTGGCTAGGTTCCTGAGGCCCTAGTAGGGGTTCAAAGGACCATGTGTGGCTGGCTGCTTTCTTAAGATGTTTTACAATGAATCTTAGGGGTCCACCATTTCCCTGAGGACAGGGCTTCCGGAAGACAGCGACCAACGACAGCAGCGAGTCTGGGTTGGGGGCCGCAACCTGTGGATGTTTGGGGTGGCTCACAATCAGTATAATTAGTCCTCCTGTTGGAGACATCAGAGGCTGAGAGTCTCTCAGTGAGCCCTGGTCCCGGAATCAGTGGCATAGCTCATTTTTAGATGTGCATGTTTGAAGTAGCTGATGGTGCTCACGGACTGAAAGGGAAACTGAATGAAGCAGGCCAGAATTGGAGGCAAGTTGGGGCTCCATGGCTGTATGCATTCGATTCGCGCCAACAACAATGTCAGAAGTTGACCACGATTCTTCCCACTCGAGGTCTGCAACCATCAGTTTCAAAGAATTCCTCATACTTGCGCGGCGCACGCGAGAGGTGGGATGTGGTGATGTGGTGTTGGATTTTCTCGGTTTTCTGACACCAACTGAGAGGTAAACTTAGGTAAACGGGCGTTTGTAGAGGACGCTACTAGGGGCTCCTGGTCATACTACTAGTAGCAAGGATGCTACTAGGAGCAAAGGCCATCGCTTGTTGATGAAAAGGCAGGGCATCGCTACTAGGAGCAAAGGGCATCGCTACTAGGAGCAAGGACGCTACTAGGGGCTCCTGGCCATACTACTAGTAGCAAGGATGCTACTAGGAGCAAAGGGCATCGCTTGTTGATGAAAAGG